CTTTCTGTATACTGTTTAACAGGCTGAGTCTAAAAATGAACAATTACAAATTTATTACAAAGTGTGCTATGCAAGAGTGCTAGATTATAGAAGAAAATTTATAGAGGCAGCTCAGAGATACAATGAATTATCATACAGATCCATAATTCATGAAGACGAACGCATGACTGCTCTTAGAAATGCCCTAATTTGCACGGTATTGGCTTCTGCAGGTAAGTGATTGACATTAATTAACATTATAGGCATTTCGAACTGTTAATTATTAATTTTATTACAGGACAACAAAGAAGTCGGATGTTAGCAACTCTGTTCAAAGATGAACGCTGTCAACAACTTCCTGCTTATTCAATTCTTGAGAAAATGTACTTGGATCGTATCATTCGACGCTCCGAATTGCAGGAATTTGAAGCGTTATTGCAACCTCATCAGAAAGCATGCACTATCGATGGGTTAGGTTCCACTATACTCGACCGTGCTGTTATCGAGCACAATTTATTGTCCGCTAGTAAATTGTACAACAATATTTCGTTCGAAGAGTTAGGCGCCTTGTTGGATATTCCACCTACTAAAGCAGAAAAAATTGCTAGCCAAATGATCACTGAAAGCAGAATGAATGGCTACATAGATCAAATTGATTCTATAGTACATTTCGAAAGTAAGTTACTTCAAATTTTTAAATATCTTATTTTTTACATAATTATCAATTGTTTACATATTCTATTTCTCTGTGCAGCACGTGAAACCTTACCAACATGGGACAAGCAAATACAATCACTCTGTTATCAAGTGAATCAAATAATTGAAAAGATAGCTCAAACAGAGCCAGAATGGATTGCAAAAGCGATGGACGATCAAATGGTGCATTAATATTAATTATTTAATATGAAAAAAAAAAACTACAAAACTCGGAAATCATTTATAACGTAACAGAACCAGCCAAAAGTGAATATTTATATTATAGCTCATCGTTCGAACAATAGTATCTAATATACGTCATTTATATTTCATTATTTGATTAAAAAATTGGTTTTTTTAAAAATATATTCGCATTGTTTTTAAACTCATCAATAGACAGTCTTGTGCATTTAAGATATTTTAGATGCACCTTCCAAAGTATCTACTCAAATCCACAAAAAATTTTTCTGCATTTTAATTTTTCAAGTATCTTTATTTAAATTTGTAGTAATGTTTAACCATTTTTACACATGTTTTCGTGGTTTAATGTTTCCTAATCATGTGAAAAAAACATGACGAAAGTAGGAATCACAGTCAAGTTGCAGATGTTAGATTTTTTTAAATATATTGCATTGTTTTTAAACTGAACAGTAATTAATTCAACTACGAGCGGTTTATCCTTGAAAAATCTTTGAAAAATCCTTAATTTTAATAAAAATTTATGAACCTTACAATAAAATTTTCTAAATTTCTATAAACAGAAAAAATTTACTTTAAATTTCACATTTTAGAGATTACATATTTTGATATTGCATCTTTAAGTTTTATCATGTCAATTTTAACTTTTACTAAAACAGAATTTTAAATATTGATATAAATTTATCACACGCAACATAAATATAAATTTGTTCAAGAGTTAAATGCTTTTTCATTTCGGTGGCTAAAATTTAGATAAATTAGATTATAACTTATGTAAATTATAGATGAGAAAAAAAAAACAATGTAAGTTCTTGTTGTAAATAAATTACATTCATACTTCGTACAACGTTCTTTACTAAACCCATAACTAGTTTGCAATATTAAATATTTTACTGAAACAACACAATAAGTTTCATATATAATACTAGGGCATAAGTTTTATCAAAGATACTTTACATTTTTCAAAATTTATGCCGTTGTGCACAAGCTAATAAACAATTGAATATGATGATATGGTGTAAGAATAGCAATGTCCCGTATGTCAATAATTATTGACATGTATTACGTATTTATACTACAAAGCAAACAAACAAAAATTAATTTAAATAATTGTCTTTTAAAATATTTTGTATTGCTACCCCTTTTTATATCATAGCATTATTGATGTGTTTTTTTATGGAAAGAATTTTAATATCAACAGGAACTGAAACACAAGCTGCACGACTCAAATGCCATCAGTAGTATTAAAACTTTACCATCTGTACAATCGTGATTTTATGTTATTCATAAATTCATGATCATATAATTATGCAATATTGTATATTATATATGTATATATATTTTATTATAATATATAAATATATAATATATTTATTAATTAACCTTTTCTCCATTTAATTTCAAATAATGCATGATATTTTTGTAGTACCTATTCGAATATCAACTTATCTACATATTACATATATTTTATTTGAAGCATGTACTGCCAAATTGTTTTTATGACACATAGTCACAAAATGTTTATTTATAAGGGGATAAATTTTCTGCTGTTTTGTAATAAATGTTATTTCATAATGGTGCATATTTAAGCTTGAAGATCTAATGCAACACCATACTTGTGACCACCAGAACCAAAGTTCTTTCCATCAATGTTTGTGGAAAATGTCAAAGTTACACCTGTAAATATATGTACAATTATTTATAACTATAAATATATGTGTATATTTTTTAAAGAAACATTTATTTGCTAAAGAATTATGTATTGTAGAGATTATTACATCACAAGTCACTGTAAAATTGCTATTCTGCCAAAAGGTTATTCTCTATTGAGTGCAACTCAGACGAGTTATTAATAAACCAACTCACTAATATTACGAACAAAAAACATCTATTTTCTCTCATTAGATATGTGCACCATGACATAACCAATATTTTTAAGTTTATAAAAAAATCATGTTACACTTTGCACTGATAAAAATAATTTTCATATCTTTTTCCCACTCTATTTTCTTAAAGATCAAGTATTTTTTTGAATATTACTTACCATCTTGCAGTTTCTGTTGATATCCCAACCCTATTTGAAGGTTTGAATTTATCTTTGCTCTAATGGCACCATCATTTTCAAGGTTATACTTAGCTCCAATACCAAACTGTGTTACGTTGTTACTGGAATTCCATGCCAAATTAATTGCTCCCTCCAAGCCTGGTTTTACTTTATGATAAATATAGCTGTTAAAGTCACGACCATTGTCCCTGAAAATATCATCACATATTGAATATTATATTTAATTAATAATTTGTAATGTTATTTAAATCCAAAAATTCAATACTGGCATTGTATTTTTTAATTTCAAATTATACTCACACAGCGGTATGGACAGCAAAATCAGAAGCAGTAAATCCAACAGCAAAGTTGTTCCTTGTAAGTTTATTCCTTTGTGAATCAAAGGATGCTTGATAACCACACAACCATCCTGTAAAAAATAGCAATATATTAAATATAAACATTTTCAATACAACTTACATTTGTTGTAGAACTGGCTTACTTTTTTATCATAAAACATTCCGTATGTTCAGAACAAGGAAATATGTTTGGGACACAAGGATGACACAAAGGATTAATGATCCAAATAGAAAGTTCTTCTGACAATTTTACAATAGAAAGATAAACCTAATCAATATCATCACTAATTTCAATAATGTCAACAATACTTAATATTTATATTTACCTTGATAGCCCACGACTGCCGAGGCATAAACTAAAGGCCCAGCAGACAAGCTGAGATCAAAATCAGCATTTGCAGATACGTTTTCATGTTTATAAGCTGTCTTTAATTTTCCAGTTTTGTTCCTACACATAAAAAGAATATGTTTGAATATTGAAACTTACAGAATGGCTGATTTGTTAAATATGCACAATCATAAAAAAAACTCACCCAGTTTGTGGAGTAAAGGTACAGCTGTAACCAAGCGTAAGTCCCTTGAGCAACTTATCAGCAATAGAAACATCAGTCGCAAGAGTATTGTCGGTATTCCACTTCTCACTAAATGACAAGCCGTATTCCTTGAGCTTGTATTTAGTCTCCAAATTGCCAAACACTTTTCCAGTATCCTGATTGGACACACCGCCACAACAAAACTCTACATCAGAATTAGTTTTGGTCTTTACGTCTAGTTTGAAAAGACCAAAGTGATAACCTTGGCCAAATACATCACGAGCACTCTTTCCCAAATCGTTATACGTTGGGGGAGCCATGTTCTGCAAGAAAAAAACCGTGTAAACTTTCATTGAATAATTCAAACAATCAACAAATAAATCAGGTTCAGAACCGATAGAAAAAGCATAAATATAAATAACTACAAAAAGTAGCGGATAAACTTAGTCCAACCATATATACCAACAATGTACTCTGTTCTGTATACAGTTATATACATGTACATTAATTTAAATAATAAAATAAAACATTAACAAAGCAATTTACATGCTAACTTAAAATGCATAGATTTGAGAAGAGCTTGTCTGTCTGTCTTTCTTTCTCTTTCTCTCTCTCTCTCTCTTTCCAACAAATTGTAAACGAAATGACGCAATTACTGTCACAAAAGCCTAAAGCAAATAAATCCACAATGATACGGTATCGCGAGGTATAATCGACTTTACGCCAACGTACGGTACCAACGGAATAGTATTGACCTGTCCCAGGTATTACATAAGGCGTAGCTTGACCAGCAGATATCACTATTACTCAAGATTATAACTTAGAAATTGCTCCATACGCCGCCGCATGTCAAGAAGCAAGTTTCTTTCACCCAGCAACGCGAAGTGCTTCGAAAATACAATTTCGTTTAACGAGCAATAAGTTGGGAAACCCATCGAACGGTGAACGACGGTGCAATCGCGATCTCCATGCCGGTTAACTGAGAGAAAACTCGATACGATTCACTTCTCGCATCTAACACTTTGTTTGAATTGAGTTCAGATTTCGATTCGCGACACGATCTTACTCACGCGTAATTCTATAACGATGTTATACTTACAGTTTTACGTTAGCAGATGCGAGACGAAAAATGCGCAACTTTATCGCAAATACGTCGTGAGAAGCAACGGAAGCGGTGAGAACAGGAGAGCCACGACCCACGGACGTTGGTGCGCATGCGCGCTGATGCATACGAAAAAGTGCCCGGCCTATTTCTGCGCAACTGAAGCGGCACGACGACGCGACGATCTCCAACCTTCAAATTAGAATTTGCAGAAAAAATTTTCATAAATTACGCGATCGAACAATTCACAGTAAAAGCGTTCAAGCTTCAAATTGAAACCATTTCAATAGGATCAATAATCAAATTGTTCGATCGATTCCTGATGACCAAAGGTCAATGAACAGTTAAGAGTACAGCAAAAATAGTACATATTTGCAAAGAAGCAATAAATAGCTTTTGACTCTAAATTCAACTTGTAAGTTCAAGTTTTTTAAATTTTAATTTAAATTTTAATTACAGATTCTAACAATCAAATATTATAATTTAAAAATTTATTGCATATTATTAAAAATAGAAACAGAGAACACACGAAAAAATTAGAATCATAGATGCATAATGGCGTATGCAATTATAGTGGAAAATAGTGGAAGCTTTTGGATCTTTCTGTACGTTTAGAGATCTAAAAATACATCGGTCGTGTGGTCACGACAACGAATGCACTGACCACAACGTTTGAAGCCGGTGCACAAATCTCGTGCCTTGCTCAGTACATTCTAGATTGTATCATTGGCAGAGCTTGCGCGCTTATTTTTAATAAACCGAGAATATAAAGCGCGCAGTAAGCACGCTTTTAGCTCAGTTCAATAACGAGCTTTCAATCAGCATCGGTATTTCATTACCGAGAAAGTTACTCTGGAAATTTCTCGTCGTCGACAAAACTTGACTCTCAACCGAACATGTCGCAAGAATCGGTATGTTGTTGAATCAATTCTTTATTTGTTATTTATTCGCAAATATTTCGCGAAAAGAGTGTAAAGACGTGTGACGCAAGCTTTCAAGATTGCATTTTACTTCATGTTAATTTGCAAAGTAATTTTCTTACATTAGTGACTGTGATGAATGTTTCAGGGAAGCGGAGCATCCACGGGAGAATTGCAGGCGTATAAAGTGCTTCAGAATGCTCGAGTTGGCAGGTGAGCGGAATAAATTGTGCAAATCTGAAATAAAATACAAAGTTATGAATAATCTTCAAAAGGAAGCAATTTTTTAATGAAACGCTGCGATGAATGAATTCATTAGAGAAATAAAACGTTTAGCAAGTTATTTATTTAATTAAATTCGCTCGTATAAACTCAAATAGATTCACACAGCAATAAAATTGATAAATACCTAAATTAACTTAAGATAGAATTAGAAATCTGTGAATAATTTTAGAAAGAAGTAAATTTTTCAAACAAAATATACGTGGTATATTAATTCACTTGATAAAGTATTCATTAATTAGCGTAAAATAGATTACGATACGCGATTGATATGGCAAATACTTACTCTAACGTGGAAAAAGATGGTATCGACGTTTTCTGCAGCGATTGGAGAATGATTGTTTTAATTACGCGTGTTCTAATTAGAATTTATGAACTGCGTGTGATCTCAGGTATATGGTCGTGGCTAGAGAACTGCAGGCTGGCGAAGAGATTTTAACGGAAATGCCTTTCGTCGTCGGGCCGAAGGCATATACTTATCCGTTGTGTCTTTCTTGCTACACACCTTGGCCACCAAGTCCAGACGAAAAACCACTTTAGCTCGAAGTGCGGATAGGCCCGTTTGCGGTGAAGAATGTGAGAATTCTTACGCAACACAAGATTACGAATGCCAGGTAAGACAATGAAAGAGCTTTTAATTGCCTTAAATCATGAAAAAACAGAAAGCTGTAGTATGCAATCCCCATTTTTTACAAATATAATTTAAAAATTTTTGTACTTTTAATTTTATAATAGATAACTGTATTTTTGATGCTTTGAAGTACATTATATATAATTGAGGACATTTATTCATTCTGAAAACTGCGTGTTTTGCATATCTGAAGATCAATTTTCTTCGACAGGTGTTTGTGCAGGCGAACGAGAAGTTTAACGTAGACGCCGCCCTGAATGAGAATAATGAGAACGGTATTCCGCAATTAGAATGCATAACTCCGCTGAGACTATTGCTCGAATCGGAAAGGAACTCCGAGAGATGGAATAAGGAAGTGAAAGACATGGAAGCGCACAACAAAGTAAGGTGTCAAAAGAAACAGTGGGCGTCAGATCACGTTAATGTCGTGGATTATCTGAGGAAACGGCTCAAACTCGACAGGTATGCGTCAATCTACTCGATATTATTTGTCGATGAAGCTCTTCACTGAAATAAATATCTTGAATTCAGATTCTCGGAGGAACATATACAGACAATATGCGGGATTTTGGAGATTAATACGTTTGAAGTTCGAACGATAAAAGGATACTCCGCGCGAGGTCTCTATCCAACAGTCGCTATGATGAATCACTCGTGCGTCTCGAATACATCTCACAGCATATCGCCAATTGATTACAGGTACATTAATTGCTTTTCGCTCATATAAAATAAAAATATTAATTCCTTTTACTTTTAGCGATACGCAAAACGCTAATTGCGTTGATAAAAAGTTTCTAATTTAGCAGTATCTTAAGCCATCTTCATTTATTCATACTCGTGCACGCTCCTTCCGCAATTAATTCGTATACCGCGCACGATCCTCGGGAAATCTCAGGTTTATGCTGATGAAGATACTCTCGTATTATATATGGATGCGGCAATTATGTACGGTATTTGCGCCTACAGGATACGACTGCGTACCACGCTTAAAGTACCCGCGGGCGGTGAACTTTACGCGAGTTACACGCACTCGTTACTGCCGACGTTACTCCGGAGGGAACACCTATTCGAGGGGAAGCACTTTGCATGCGCGTGCCCGCGGTGTTCAGATCCCACGGAATTGGGCACTCATATGTCCTCGCTTAAGTGCAACAAATGCGAGAACGGAATTGTCTTGCCACTGGATTCTTTAGGTACTGCAATATATATATTTTTCCTTAATCGCGCGACACATCGTATTCGCAAATAAAAAAAGGAAGCAAAAGAGCTTGTATAGCTATAGCGTTAAAAATTGAACTCACCGAATTTATATCGGTTTCAATATCTATTGGCTGGATGAAAAACATAGAAAATGGTAGCTTAAAGATTGTTAATGATTAGAAATATTTAAAAAATGATATTGTATCTTGATATCTTTCAGACTCAAACAGTACGTGGAAGTGTACGCATTGTGATTTTTCTACTAACGGACAGGCAGTACAAAAAGTTTTACGGATCATTCAAGCAGAAGTGGATGCCGCAGAAGCTATCAGTGGAGCTGATGGAGCCGACGCGATTCATGAAAGGGAGACCGTTATGAGAAAGTATCGATCAGTTCTTCATCCTCGGCATGCCTTTCTTACGATGTTGAGGTACGACAAAGAGAAATAAGTAACTTTAATAGTAGCGTTGAACTATTTAAACTCTTTAAACTCTTTAAACTCTTTGGCGAAATTTCAACTCTAATAATATATTAAATAATTTCAATTCTATATATTATTTTTATATACTTGACGCTTTATATTATTAAAAAAAATTATAAAATATGATGTTTATTAGACATTCATTGACTCAAATGTACGGTCGAGTTGACGAATATTTGTTGGACGATTTGCCGAATGTTGTGTTAGAGCACAAAGTCGATTTGTGTCGTCTGTTGCTTCAAGTATTAGATGCTGTTGAGCCTGGATATTCTCGCATAAGAGGTATGTATTTTTTAGACGATTCGGAGAATTGAGGAAAGTTATATAAATAGTTTTATTGCCTTACCTTTTTGGCAGGTATGACGTTATACGAGTTGCACGCACCATTGCTCTTTTTAGCTAAGGGGCAATGGAATGCCGGTGTGATCGACGATGCCGGATTAAAGTCCAAAATGACGGAAGTCGCAAATATTTTGAAAGAGGCAGCCACAATATTAACCTTGGAGCCATCGGAGATGGCCGAGGGGCAGATAGGACTCGTCGCGAAGGAATCTTTAATTCAGCTGGAACAATCTATCAATAACTTATGAATATTTATTGTAAATGTCATTATTTGTACAGACATGTGCTAATAAACACACGCTTCTATATATTTTAATTGTTTTTGTATAGAAAATATCAGAAATACAAAGAAAACTTTTACATTTGAAAAAAATATTACATCAGAACAAATAATGATAAATCAGTATAAAATCATACACGCACACAATCCTTTTCTCCCTAAAAATATAGTTTTAAAAATATTAACCAGATATTTTTGGTCGTTTTTACATAGATATTTATGATTTTCCATCCAAAATTGATTAAGATACTTGGTTTGTATGTGTAGTAATATATCTAATAAATCAATCAATTAAATTCGCTGTTATCAGATAAGAGTACGTCTAGAAAGTAATGGCAATTTGATTATATCATTGTGTTATGCCAATGTGTGCATCACGTACTACTAATTCTGTACTAACATTGCAAACTACACGCGATACTACTCTGTGTCTAATAATACAACCCGTCGCGTTCGTACCGGAAAAAGACGGTTCGTATTACTGATGATTCCTTCTTAATGCCAGTTACGGGTTGACAGTCGCAAACTTGAAGGAGGTAATCTAAAGATATGGTGCCCACCCCGAAGTATAAGACCGTGCATTCGACGAAACTTGGAAGGTACAGTTGTAGCTCCCCGATACGCATCCCTTTGTACAATCTTTTCTACATACAAACTATCGTGCATATAATCAAGTTGATGTTTGAAAATATTGCTATTTATATAGGATTTTTATTTTATATTGCTAATTTATTGTCTGTTAACATTTTAAGTAATATGAGTAAAGAAAAAGTAGAAGCAAAAAAGAATTTGCATGTGTGTATGATTTATATCCCTGAAGTATACTTATTAGTTTCTTACATAAAATAGATACTTGCGCTATATATAAAAAATTATATATATACGTATTTCGTTTTGCACGTTCAATTACATTGCAAGCTATATCTTTTGTTTCTAAGATACCTTGTAGCAGCTAGAAATATAGAGCCAGGAGAAGTTATCATTCGAGAGGAACCAATTGTAGTCGGCCCGATATATAGGAAAGATTGCTTCTGCTTTGCATGCTTACGTTCTTTAACAAATATAGACGGAGGAAAACAGTATGTTTGTTCCAAATGTAATGTAGCATCGTTGTGCAGCGTTGCATGCGAGGTAACAAGTTAAAATACACAACATCAATAATTCTCAAAGCTTTAGAATGTCTGGAAACCAAATATATTATTATACAAAACAAAGAAATATATTCACAGAATTAAAAAAGATTAAAGTATTTTGAAAGAGCAAAATTGTTCGTGAAAAATATACACAACTAGTAGCTGCACAAATCTATATCGCCTGAAAAGGAAATGAAAAATTTGAGAACCACTGCGTTACATAATGCCACATTAAAATAGCGCTTCTAATTTTTCTTTCTATTTTTGAAGATAAGAACGACTCATCACACAAATGATGAATGCCAGATGTTTAAGAACAATCGAGATCTATTGATAGAAAATGATGATGAAATTAACGCGACAGGAATATTGCTAGCCTTGCGATTATTGCTAATAAAATATAGAAATCCAGCTGTATGGGAAAAAATAAATTATATGGAGGCTCATTTAGATAAAAGGATAGGCACATCCATCTGGAAGGACAGAGAAGTCAATATTGTAGACGTGAGTTTTACATAAATCAGTTTGTATCAGTTACATGTATTTAAAATATTTTCCTAAAAAGTTTCTTCACTCCTTTAAAAGATCATTAGCTATTAAACTGCTTTATTTATGGATCATACATATATGTATAGGTGATTCGGAGGCTTCGCATGCCCGCTGAGATTGAGCCACCGAGTGCGGAATTAATGCAGAAATTATGCGGCATTTTAGATGTGAATGCCTTCCAGTTGCGATCACCTGGCGCTCTTGACGGTCTTCTTCTTCGAGGATTATACATCGAGGCGACTCTGATGGCTCATGACTGCAGGGGTAACACTCACCTCTCGGTGGATGACAATTTCCAGTTGACTATTTATGCAAGCGTAACGATCAAAGAGGATGAGCCTATTCTTTTCAATTATACTTCATCGCTTTTGGTCAGTTGATTACGGAAATATGATAAAATTTATATTTTGCATCCTCTTGTTTAACGATATAGCGTGCTAATATCTCAATGTCATATAAGTTAATTTAAACTACAATTTCACTATTCTGATATTTTAATTAAAAATTTAACAAAATTACGTGTATATTTACCTATCAGGGTACAGCTGACAGAAAGGAGCATCTTCGCGAGGGAAAGTATTTCGAATGTGAATGCTCTTTGTGCAGAGATCCTTACGAATTAGAGTCGCATTTAAGTAGTGTGTTATGTCCACATTGTAAAGAGGGATTCGTAGGAATGCAAGATACTTCCAGCCTCAATCCATATGAGCGAGGGAGTCGATGGCAATGTCAAATGTGCAAGAGGACTTTTAGTGGTCGTCTTATCAGAGCTACATTAAACATATGTCGAACGCTCATCGATGACTGCGATATTGACATAAAAGTTTGTAATGATACAAATCAAACATATGTGTTACATCTTTTCCACAATCTTAGTAGCAAATTAATACTTGGTTTTAGAGTATAGAGGGCTTACTTAAAAGATTATCCCGATCATTGCACACCAATCATTTCCTGATGCTATCCTTGAAGCAGAAATTATTGATGTTGTGTAGAAAAGAAATAATATCTCCGAACCCTCAGAAAAAAATCATACAAAAGATGTTGGATACGTGTAAGGAAGTCTATAATGTTTTAGATATAGTAGAGCCAGGCATATCACGTTTAAAAGGTATCAATACACATCAATAACATAAATTATAAATACCTGGAAAATAATACAAATAATTTAAAAACATTTTATGAAAGTGTTGTTACGTCATACGTAATTATAAAAATATTTATCAATTATAAATATCGATTTCAGGCATAATGTTGTACGAAATGCATTTACCTATGATTATACTGGCGAATCGATCTTATTCTGCACGTGAGATCTCATCGGCGCAACTAGCCTGCCGACTGGAAGAGGCTAGAGATCTTCTAAAGAAAGCTCTGACTATGCTCTTTTTGGAACCAGTGACAACTCCAGAAGGGAAATTGGCTAAAAGAGCACTGGAAGAATTGCGAACGCTAAACCAAAATATAAGCGACGTCAAGTCTTTGCCGTCAGACAAACCGAAAATCCATGTTCGTAAAGCAAAAGTACACCGCAAAAAGATCAAATGATATCTATACTTTTGCTTTTCTGTGAATTAGTATATATATAATATTAGTTATATATAGAAGATAGTTTCTTTTTTCTTGTAAAGGTAAGTAATGTTAAAACAATCATTTATATACGAGCAATACATTAAAAAAAAATTTGTATTATTACTTGTATTATCATTTTTATTATCTCTAGTAATACATAAAAAAAATACAAATAAAAATACAAATAATTATGAGCAAATTTGATTTGAGTTTTATGCATAAAGATAAAATGCAAATATAATTAGAAACAAGAAAAACTGCAAAAACTAATTTAATGAAATCAAATTCAAATCAAATCACTACATTGAGTTCACTACAAAAATTTTGGAAAAAAATTATAATTATATGAATTTTATTATCAAAGTTTAATAAAAACTTTAAACCAAAATAGTTATTGAATCACTGTAATTGAACTAAAATCATTTCATTATGATAAAGGTTCCAGTTCGAGATATTATTTTGTAAATCTGTAATCAACATAGTTATGTTAATATAATTGTGTTATTTTATATTGCTGTATATTGCTTTGTATTATGGAAATTGGTCCTTTTATTCTATAATAAAAGAAACATCATCTATATTTGTAATTGTCATTATCTATTTATATGGATTTAATAAATATATTTATACAAAATTTTAAGTCCACACAACATTTTTTTTTAATTTGGAGGAACAAGTAACATTCCATTATTTTGAATTATATATATATAATATTTATGATATTATATATCGAAAAATGTGCTCGTGCACTATAAGTTGTAAATTTTCCAAAGCTTTTATAATCTATTTATCTTAAAAGTATTTATTCGATAAAGTCAATCGTTTCATTCCATGAATGAATAATCATGAAAGTAAAGAATAACAGCGTTACCTATCACTCATCACTTTTTCTCTTCAATATTTGTACTGGTGCTGATGGTGGATACTGGTGGTGATGTATTGAAACTGGGATCATTTGAGCAGCCTCCGTATGCGAACATTTTTGGAATGTCTTGTCCATAATATATTTTGGCATTATGTGCCAAAGCTTCATACTTCCTGAGTTCTAAGAATTCCTTAGATAGAAGCAGTTTGTTCGCTTCAGCTTGCATTTTCATTTGGTAAAATTCGGCGTCCGAACGACTCTTTTGTCTTGCTAAATGCATATCATCTTCTATTGCAGCCATTTGTTGTAGAGATTCTTTCTCCATGATTTTTTGATTATATTGAATCTTTGCAACTTGTGCTTCCTTTTCAGCTTCGATAATAGCCTTCTTGCGATCAGTTTCAGCATCTTTTTCCACTACTTTTTGATGCTGCGTAGATATCAACAGCTTTGTTTTTTCTGCTTCCCTGTTTTTTTTAGAAATAAAATTAATTAATATAAAATATAGAAATATCCAAGAATAAAACTTCAAGAAAATTAATTAACAGAGCAATTGCTTACATTAATTCATAGTTTTTCCTGATTGTCTCAGGAATCTTTGGTTTTGTTACTCTTACGGCTTGTATATTAAGACCAGGCGCTAATTCATTTAAATCCCTTTGAAGAGCAGTCTTCAAGTTCTCATCAATTTGATCAAACAAATCAATGTAAACTTCATGTAATGTATGTACAGAGCAAAATTGGTTTAATTCATGATGTATCTTGTTAAAAATCAATGTACGATCATAATCCGCTGTAAAATTCTTCACCATATTGTAGACTGTAAAAATATATAAATAGTGGTATAGTGGTATTCTTTTAAATTTTTGAGAATGCTAATAGTGAATAGAAATAAATGTTCCATCATAGCTTACCACTATTTGCATCCAATATATTCACAACTTCTATACGATCGAAGTATATCATTACACCACCGCTGGTTCCACATGGCACATTCTTTACTTCGTCTGTTTGCAAAGTTACTTGAACCGAACGATATGTAGTGAGTAATGGTACCATCATGTGAAATCCTGGGTTACTCACATAAGGTAACAGCGCACCACCCTGATAAAGATTTATAGAATAACTTAAAAATAATAAAGTTTTGAATACACAAATGAAGAATTTAGGTGAAATTACTCACTCGAAAGTATACTCCCACATGACCCTCTTCAATACGATGAAGGGAGAAGTTAAATACTATTATAAAACACACGAGGAAGGAGATTGCTATGATCCTTTGATCAAACATAATTGTTTGCTTATAGTGACACTAAAAAATATATGAAACAACTTAGTAGATATATATAGGATCCAATGTTATATACATAGTAAGCTCAAAATATACAGCATACATGAAGTGAATCATAAATAGCTTGAAATAACAGTATCACATATAGCTCAAAGCAATAGTTACGTAACATGTGAATGGAAAACACTAATTATATGATGTAAAATTAGCGAATCTATTGATGATCCAAGTCCCAAAATTTAAAATATCATAAGAAGAGGTTATCTCATATATTATACACACAAAACGAACGAATAATAATACCTTGACTCAAAAGATGAAAAATATGTTACAAAGTAATAACAGACATATAATTATAATTAGAAATTACAACATAGTCCATTAAATTCATATTTGTGAAATAAGTTGCTCAATTTCATCTAGTAGGCATAGCGTAGACTTGTGTTTATCGATATTGTGTACATTCGATTGCATTCGATTGCATTCGATTGCATTCGATATTATCGAATACTCGATATTTTCTCGATTTCGATACAAAAATATTGAATAGAAAAAATATGAATACAATATTTTAGAAGATTATCATGTGACCAACAATAATCGTTGCAGTTGTTTTTGATTATAAAATGTTGAATTATCTTAACAATCTTATTGTTAATAAATTATTTGAATAAATGTAAAAAATTAAATTAATTAGACAAATATAATATTAAAAATAATAAAGATAAATTTTAATAATAATGAATTTTATACCGTTAATTTTAACAATATCTAGAAAAGATAAATATTCCTTCAAAATAGCTTTTGATCATAAATCGACTATACTTTCGATTCATTTCGATCAATCGACTTGAATCGACTGTAATTCTATTTGTTGACAAAATTTTATATAAGGTTAGATTTCTGAACGTGACGTTAGTTTGACAGAAGTCACAAATAAGTTTCAGATATCTTAACGGTGTGTTAATTTATTTTTGTGATTTATTTAAAAAATGGAAGTTAAAGCAAAGAGCGAACATTTGTTAGCATTGAAAGGTAAAATATTGTGACAAATAAAAATTGCATTTTTCAATTTTTAGACCATGCTATTAATATATAATTACCTATTCTAATATTTGTGTAAAAACTATAAATTTGAAATATATAATATTATGGAATTATCTTTATAAAAGCTACAATTATGTTATAGTAATGAGATTAACACGACCTACTCTGGCAAGTCCCATGGTTATTACATGTGATTCAACAGATTTGCCAGGTAATACATTAAACAATGAACTTAAGAATGATTGCACAGCATTGCAAGGAATGGAAGCGCTTGCTGTAGGACAATTCATGGTATTACCTCAAAGTTTTGGGTACGTTTTCTGGCCAAGAGTTACAAAAGTATATTTTTTAAATATTACACAAGTGATATTTATTATTGCAGAAATATATATTTAGGGGAGATATTCTCTAGTTATTTGTGTGTACATAATGGCAGCAATCAAGTGGTAAATAATGTTACTGTAAAAGTAAGTTCCAATTATATATTATCTATATTTTATTTTATATGCATTTATCCCCTTGTATATTTTCTAGTGTATTATATATTTTGCATATATTTTATAGGCAGATTTGCAAACAAGTACACAGACAATCCCTCTCTCTGGCAATAATCTAGAAGGGAAAGAATTAGCACCTGACAGTACAGTAGATGAAGTTATTCATCACGAGGTTAAGGAAATAGGTACACATATGTAAGGATATTGATAATTTATTATAAAATTTCATTCTTATGCTTTCAAATTGATAATATGCCTTTTTATTTTTCTAGATTAGTTTGTGAGGTATCTTATACCTGTGCAAATCAGACCTCTCCACTTTCATTTAGAAAGTATTTTAAGTTTCAAGTGGTTAAACCACTAGATGTAAAGACCAAATTTTATAATGCAGAGGTATAGTTTATATACTATCTAGTACTAACGTCATTATGTATAAATTTTCTTATATAGATTGTTATTCTAATACCATGTTCTCATTTTAATGTTTTCTAAAGTCAGATGAGGTATATCTCGAAGCGCAAATTCAAAATTTAACTGCTGGTCCAATTTGTTTAGAAAAAGTCGCTCTTGAATCATCTCACTTGTTTAGTGGTAAGTTCTCATAATAAGTAGTGAATTAATCATAATACATTAAGTTAAGAATCTTAAGGATCGCTTAATTTTAGTGACCACATTGAATACAAATGACAAAGGGGAATCTATTTATGGAAGTATGAATCTATTAGATACAGGTTGTAGTAGACAATATCTGTATTGTTTAAAACCACAGTTAAGCTTATTAAAAGATCCAAAAATGATGCAAAATGCCACTAATATTGGCAAATTGGATATTGTGTGGAGAAGCAATTTGGGTGAGAGAGGAAGGTTGCAAACTAGTCAATTGCAAAGAATGGTATGTTAGATTAATTATTGACAATTATGATTATATATATATATATATAAAATGACATGGACACTATTTCTCAGGCACCTGAATATGGAGATCTAAGGGTTATTATGAAGGATATTCCCCCGAAGGTTGATCTGGAAGAACCAGTTAATTGCAAATGTCACATAATAAATACTTCGTAAGTACGATTGCAATTAGAAAACTAGTATAAATGTGGTAGCACTTTTTAACTCCTTTTTTTTTTTTTTAGGGAAAGGAGTATGGAATTGTTATTGAGCTTAGAATCGAATAACTCCATAGCTTGGTGCGGGATGTCTGATACAACAATTGGTACTCTGAAACCTGGAGCTTCTATGGATATACCTCTCTGTTTGATTACATTGGATAGAGGCATTATTGTAAGTAATTTATTTACGGGAATTTTAATATATTACTAAATAATATCTTTTACAGACCATCTCCGGTCTAAAACTAACAGATACGTTTCTAAAAAGAGTGTATGACTATGATGATCTGGCTCAAATTTTCGTCAATTGATTGAATCAAGAGACAGATATGCCAGAAGAATACTTTTATCAATTATGTTATTTATTATTTGTAAACATAACAAATGTCGAGAAATATAATGTAATACTAGTGTATATTAAAGTTATTGAGTAATTAAAATGTTCATAAATACTCATCTAGTGTTGACATTTTTTCGGTTTCACTGACAGTCCCTACTGCACACGCGAGTAACGTTTGAATGTCTTGCGGCTCATTACCACCAAAAATATAACCATTTGCTTTATCCACCGCATTTTTCACTTGTAATAATAATGCTTTGTTAGAAACATCTAGCGGTACAAAACTAACAAGACTGTAGTCTTCAATTAGAGATACCAATGCAGAATTAAGTTTTTTGTACCTATAAAATATTATATCTGTTTAAAGCTTGTAAAAAATATTTCATTCATAAATAAAATATACACATTTGATTAAATTATATCGTAAACGCCGATTAATAAAATCATATTTTATTAAATTTAACTCACTTTGCGGTAAAGGGATTTTCATCTAACTGCTCCAAGAGATACTTTAAATCCAGTACTTCTGTATAAAAATCTATATTAAATGCTAAACAACTACCGAACTTTTTCATTTCATCAAACTTTGTCATAACATTCACATGAGGTAAACCAATTTGTAACATCACTGTTGTACAAAGTATCAGAGAGGATAGATATTTACCTATAAGTTATATTAAGAATTATGTTGAGAATAAACACACATAGAATGAAAATATAGTATTTCTATATAATGGTTTAATTAACTAATGCAAAAGAAATGTATGCATTAATATTTACCAGGATCACTGCAATGATGTGAATCTACAAGATGCACACTGCATAATCTCACTAAGTTCTGGTTCAATTTTTCTCCTATTTGACTCATCGATTTGTGATGTGTGTATAATTCGACCTATTTTATTTCATAATGTATTATTTGGCACAGAATAAAAAAAATTTGAAGATAATGTTATAACTTACTTGACCTGGGCAATCAAAAATAAGATAGTGATCTTTTAAATTTAAAACTTTTGTGATAAGCCATTTTACATTAGTTTCTAGAAACTCCATGCAATAAATTAAAGCTCCATTTGGTCCAAGTTTAAAATGCTTCATGACTTCTTCGTGTTTAATTAATTCAGATATATCTACTGCTGGAGTATACTCCATGTTTTCATTTGCTGGATCTAAAATATTATTCATTTAAATTTAATAAAAAAAAAAGCAATTAAAAAAATAGAGAAGCAACTAAAATATTTATATACCGATATTAATAACAGCCACTTTTCTTCCCATGGATTCCAGAAATTTGGACATTGCATTGCAATATGTTGTTTTCCCACTACCAGGCGGGCCGATAACAAGTTGACCAAAAATTAAACTCATGGTGTGTGCGTGTGTGGTTGGGATATTACATTAACATGATTTTATCTTATTCACAGCAGCAACAATAGATTTTAAAGTATTTAAGTCGTAATCTTTAAGCGCTATTGATAGCAGCAATGGTTTTTCAATGTCAATCTGTTGCGCTATGTATCTAGCAGCTACATGAGCATCATTGTTTTCATTACCAAAGAGAGTCCTGGAAATTTTAATTAACTTAGTTTAAAAAAACATCACACATTGAATATTTCAGAATTATTACAATACACTGCTACTTACTTTATTGTGAATATATCACTACTGTAACCATTCACAGAAGATTCACGGTTTACCGTTAATAATGTTCCAAATTTTTTGAAATGTGTTATAATTAACAATGTTCGATTGCTGTAAATAAAGATGTAAGAGTGTTGTAAATAAATTCTTAAAAAAAACTAATAGAGATTATTTTGTAATACCTGTATGATTTTAAAACGATATCAGTGTGAGAACCATTTGTAACGATACTACAAGCACGTTCACTCATCTTTCTTGTACATTCCTAATTGCAAAATTATACCGGAACAACTAATCAACCTCTCGATGATCACACTGAAAATCATGTAAAATCATATAGTAAGAAATAAGTAACAGTGAGAGCAGTGATGCCACAATTGAAACGCAACAAGCAGCATGTATCGCACGTGGTTTGCGATTGTGTACGATGTATCGACTTCATTCGATATATCGAATAAAGTCGATACATACAAAGAGCATGACGCGCGAAAATTAAAGCGATATATCTTATGCAATCTGATATCCAAATCTAGAATGCAGAAAGAAATGACAGAACGTACAAACAGCGTGACTTCAAGTAGAGATTTTATTGAAATATAAGGAATCTGTACCAGACAGAAAAACTAAAATTACTGTTGAATTTGGTACTATCGGGGTTCATATATCGTATATGCCTGCGTAATCACTGTTATCGTTTCACGTTTATCGTATAAGTTTAATAAGTTTGAATATTTATAAGTACAGAAACAATATCGAAGGTACGCGCACAGTCTATCTTGAAGTTCTAAAGCTAAGAAAAGGATTCCTCTCTATAGACCTATAGTTGCAAGTTACGTTTACAACTAAAGGGGGGGGGGGAGGGGTTTCCGCTTCTCTTTATCTATGTACAACTGATAATTCAAAGATTTATATAAGCCATCCTCACATGATCCGCCCGCTACGGCGAAACGTACAGTTTCATTCAACTATTTACAATTTTTACAAAAAACACTGTCAATATACAAGTAGTACAACAATCTAAATGTACTTTCATTCTTCCGCACTGATAATTGCAACGAATGTCAATCTAATCTTACGAAAATGGCCCCGTTTTAACAAAGATCTATTTCTTTTAATATTTGTATGTTTCCCAGGTTGTCGAGTTGTTATGAACAACTCTATAAAACCTCGTCCAGATTTTTGAATATATACTTAATGAGAAGCTATTTGACGAAGCAGTAATCTTGTGCTAACGCAAGAATAACGTCATGTCGAACTCGCTTTCAAGTGGGACGCATCGCATATACAGTCTAATTACAACTATATTAAGAATGTGGAAATCTAAAAATCTTCGTATTAGTTAATAAATAAGCAACGTATATGTAGATTTAATATATATGAGTATATTAAATATATATTAAATTTTATATACATTTAATATATATTTAACTAAGAAATTGAACTTAACATTGTCCACAATAAGAATCTACCGCGCTGCTGTTTTTTTATTCTTTGCCAATTTATTCTTTGCAAACATGCTTTGCCGATGCTGTATGTGCATACTACGCAATAAAAAGAGCAAAGTATTTTCCAGAAAAAGAATAAAACGTGTCTCAAAGAGGCACACTGCCCAATTCTATGTTAAAAAAGGAAGATGTAGAGCTATTTTACACTATTGAAATATACATTAATCAATAACAATTTTTGATGTGACGATTTATAGATTCTCATTTTCGTTTTTACAAATTTATCAATCAAATTTTTCTCATCATTTATGTAATCATGAAGTAACTTTAAATCTTTGCTACCCATAAAATTCAATTTAGAATATGTATAATCTTATTCACAGTAAAATTAAAGTTGGAAAATCTCCATTTAAAAATTCAAAATGTACAAGATATTAGTCTTCAAAGAATTAAAATATACATATACTTTGTATATTCTTTAAATATTTTTAAATTTATACAAGACACGTATAATTATAAATAAAAATCTATTTTATAAATAGGAATGTTTAAAGAATTAAAAAAAAATAAAGAAAGCGATATGTAAGATAATGATAATGAGAAAAATTACTCAATACTGTACAAAATTTGGATAATGTCGAGATATAATTGTGTCGTGTTCACACCAATTGTGAAAACGCGCGCAAAATGCACGATACAGCATCATTGAAACAAGATGACAACGCTTGAAGCGTTTAAGTTTGAATACGATCAGATTTTAGTTGTTGTACTGAATTCAATATTGGAACGTGCCAGGGAGGCGTCCATTTGGTAGTATTGTATATAACGATCTATAAAAAATCTACAAAAAATTAAACTCACTAAGATATGCAATGATCTTAGTGCGAGATTGTCAAAATCGACATGTACGACAGTCTACGCTATAAATAAAATACTCGATTAATAAAAGTGAAGTGAGAAAATCTCAGAATCGAACGAAGCAGTCGATGACACGGAAATGCATTTGTCGCTAAACGATATCGCGAGTTAGTATGCTTGTCGCATCGAAACCGAGAAGGAACGCATCACCACCGATGGTGGTTGAAATACTGTGCATAATTGTGCCTTTCTACAAATCAAATGTCAAATTTCGTCGAAATTCTTGTCCAAACATTTACATTTTCGTACGTACGTTCAAAATCTAATTTACATAATTTTTTTCACGATATTCTATTTATTTTCGCGTAATAAAATTCCTCGATAAATGAGATACAACTTCGTAAACGTTGAAAACTACTTTAGAATAACTCGGAACATCTCCCCCCGAATCGCTTCCGCGAAGCAGTTTCGATATCCTAAAAACGAATTAGAAAAATACTTTTTCTAGATATATCTGGTATATATATCTCGTAGTAAAAACGAAAGTTAAAGATTTTATTTGTAGTATTCCCTTAGCGAAGTTCTAAGATAAGCAAATAATAAAATCAACTAGAAGATATAATATCCTCTAATTTTCCAGATCTTCAGCGTGATTAAAATCTACTAAGCATTTTAAAATATACAAGTATATATACGACTGCAGGTATAACGTATACTCGACAATAAACTCATACTGACATCACTAATGTCTTTACAATCAATTTACATAGATTCGCAGCACATGCGGACACATTGTTCGCCAATGATCGTTGGTGCTTAATTTTCAGTTTGGATAAAAACTCACGAATTTTAGTCTCTGATTTATAATCAATCGATTTTGCTTCTAGTATCCAAGTTCGTAGTTCAGTGTCCAGTTTCGAAGGCCTTGGAGGCCTTCAATTGAAGCATAAGGACAAACAGATCTCTTCCTCCGACTGCCTTCGCGCACTGTGACGTCATCTTTATCAATCGTTAAAAAAGTTTAAACTTGCTTGGTACCATTACATCCTCGGCTTAATATCCGACATGCGAAAATAATTTATATTTACAATCGTTCAATACAACTCAGAGCAGATATTTCCGAGGCAGAATTGTTAATGGATATCGTTCTTGAGGTTCAAAGGGTTTCTTTGGGATCTCTCTCACGGAAGAAACCCTTTTCAGTCTTGCACTCCCTGATGGTAACGGTCTTCAAGTTAACGGTAACGTCCGTGATAAATACTTGATCGGCCACGGGGTTCCTCGCCTGCCAGTAATCCGTATCGGGACTTATAAGTGGAACGTAGACCTCTGGTTTCAGAATTTCTGTCTGCTTAACGCTCGGAGTATTGTTATTGTTATTGTTATTGTTGTTGTTATTATTGTTATGACTGTGATGCCCGTTCACAACGGTCGGTAACCTGTTGTTGTTGGTGTAAGAATCTGTGGGACTGGGTGACTTGTGACCGTTCGCTTTGTCAGTGGCAACCGCGCCGTTCGATTTTTCCTGCTTCTGCTCCGACAAGTGCCTCTTCTTCGTCACGGGTTGCTCCAAAGGTGTGTCTATTTGAGGAGAAAGCGGTGCCGGTGGTGCACGTGGAAGAGAAGGCGGCGGGCCGTGAGGTAGATCGGCTTCAGGACGTTTTTTGTCCTGTACTGCGGGTGCCGGCGTCGTCGGCACTGCCGGTAAAGGCTCTTCTGGTGTCGACTTCACACTGGAAGACGACGGCCTTCTACCGTTGACTTTGTGACTCTGTAACGGGAAGGATCTTGCTCTTATGCTACCCCGAAAACGCTAAGACGCCAAGATACCATTAATATTTTAACACTGCAACATTCTTATCTTTCTGCGAGTTGCAAGGCAACGGATGCGAATTATAAGAGTTTTATATATACTAAATGTTTGATTCTCCGATACAATATTAGTTAACCTAGATAACTTGTTATGTTACATATTTTTGAGAAATTTCTTTACAAACATGAAAGAAAGAATATAAAAAACAAGAAATACCTCGTGATGTAATGATTTTTTAGCTCCACTCTAGCTTAATGCGCTGATAACAGCTAATTACTTTTATAATAATCAACACTCACGTGATAAGAAGGCGTTGTGGGGTTATTTTTCAAAGGCAATAACCGAGGAACTTTGCTCGGCGGCGGACTACCACTACCACTACTAGGACTGCTTGTAGTAATTGTCACGCCAATTTTTCCAGATTCCTTGAGGACCTCCGCCTTCCTCTTCGTGCCAGCAGGCAACTCTCTTTCTCTCCTTGGCAACAGAGGTATGTCAACGCTGCTGTTGGAGCTGTCGGAGTCGACGCTGAACGTCGACGCCATTTCCGGCGGTGTTGGAGACTCATGGCCGTCCAAGGAACTCGGGAGTGTGTCTTCATCAGGCGCTACTGAATTTAAACGAGGGGCTGAGGTGCTGCCCGTCGTCGATTCGTCCTGACTGTCTTCGCCTACTCTTTCATCTCCACCGGGTTCTTCCTCGACGACAAGGTTGGCCAGCACCTGTTCCTAAACATAAATTTTGCTATCAACCATGTACAGTCTTGTACTAACCTAACTTTATGATTCTGTTAACTCTTTGTTTTAAATTACGATTGTTTCACAAAATAAAAGATAAAATTTTATGGCTAGTTATACTTATGCTGTGAAAAACACCATAAAGTTCGCTGAAATACTAAGCTATTAAAGTGATTCAGAGTAACACGAACATAGTGGATGGTTTCTTCCATCACAATCTGTTTTCATTATTAAGAAACGCTGTAGCATCTTACATCAAATATATACATAACCAATTTTGCCCCCATTATTATTAAGATTAATACTTCTTTAAATTGAATATTTCTTTTTTAATATGATACATTTTACAAAGTTTTATGTATAAAAAGCATTTTTTGACAAGTAACATTTTTCTTTAGAAAAGAGAATATAAATTCTTTGCATCTTTGATATATTTTTTTAAGGATGTTCAATTGAATGCAATGAGGCAAAACAAGGTTGATACAAATCATTGCATGTAACGGAATTTTTAACAGATATTTTAGCAACATTAATTCAACATGGTACTTGTCTAAATTCTGTTTCTTGTACAATGTAACTCTTTATAATTTACACGAAATCGATAAATATGTATGAAGTAAATATCATCCTTTCTTACGCTATATCTGGTATCCCTTCGCCTCGGCCTTCTAGCGGGCACATCGCTGCCCTTTTGACTTTCCTCATACAATTCGATTAACCTCACGTCCAAAATATTTTCCTCTGGCTCCCATGTATTATATCTGAAGATAAAATTACAAATGTGTATTCCAATCACAAGCATTTTTAATCAAGTGACAGATCTTTGATTTTATACTCACTTTTTGCTCCATCCTTTCCATTTGACAAAATACTCGACTTTGCCCTAAAAAAAAGAAAGCACGATAAATATAAAATCATTAATGATAATTAGAAATACGAACGTAAATAGTTTCGTTCGCGTACATTTTAACTGATGATCGAGAAATCACATTAAATGATAGAGACTGTCCTAGGGTAAAAATTTACAAATATTGATTTAAAGTAAAATATATGAGCATGGAGAGAAATTATTGAATCGTTTAATAGAATTACGCACTGACAGCAAATACGATGACCAATATTGCATCAAATGACACATGGAGAAGCATGTGTGAGTTGTCATTTCATTATTCTCAATTATCGCGGCGTCAACACGTGGATACCTGTCCACGCTACGTGAGACGACTACAATTAATGAGTAAATATATTTCTTTAAAAAAACGGGAATCTCTGTGACTCTCTCTCTCTCTCTTTCTCCCTGAAATTGCTGGCTCCGTTCTAACATAAGTCTATTTTACCTGCATTTTAGATAAAACTATCACATCTGCGATAATCTGTATATATTTATCTAAATTCTATTGAGTATACAACAGAAATATTTGCAAAAAATCTGTATTTAGAATCCTTATAAAATGTTAACAGATATAAAAATAAATAATGCCATGAGGATAAAAGATTTTCACATCTCATTCTGATATGTATTTTCTAAATGCGATATCGCATTTGATAAAATGTAATCGTACATTAATCATTTTCACCTTTACTCATAATTAGATTTATCATTATTTGCCAGTTACATTAACAGCGGAATTATACTTGTCCACGTGTTACGCGCTTTGTGCGCATCATATGCACGCCAACCGATCATTTACTGATAAGATCTGCCAATCGGTATGAAAGCCAATACACTTATCGATACGCGTAATTATAGCTATCATCGCGTGATAATTAATACAACGCGAGAGGCTGCTATATCGATTGTTCAATACGATTTTCCACGTTTCGTCGATCGTCGAAGAGATAAAACCAGGTGATTGGTGAAAGCCGGTTAACGCCATTCGCTGTCAATCAACAGTTACTCTGTAAAACCGGGCCAATTGCATACAGAAATAAATAGAATAGAATGCGTTTAATTTATATTTCAGAAGCAGAGAATCTCCCGACAGCACAGAACAAAAGTACAAAAAAATCCTAGACAGCATAAATATCATAAAAAAACTAGATTAGATTACCATAAAACTGATTTAAGTAATCTCAATTTGTCTTGATATTAATTTTAAAATTAGACTAAATTTTGTTTTAGACTGTGAGATTAATATATTTTTGATGTTGATCTTAAAATTGAAATAAATTTGATTTTCTTTAAATCTTTTCAGTTTATCAAAGACAGATTAGAAAACGTCACGCTGAATTCTGCAATTTATTTAACGTCACTGTCAGTGCTCGAGTTTTTCTAAAATTCGATAGAATCATGAGAAAGAGATTTCGTTTGCACAGCCGGGAACGCGTAAATTTTCGCATCCATTTCGCGTAGTGCACGGACAATAATACGAACTATGTTGATATCCACGACTTAACTATTGGCGGTGGGCCAATGACAGAAACGGCACGCCGGTCCATCGCGATGCACAAGTCAACCGATGTGACAGTTGGAAAACAATGACACACGCGATACGTCGCAAAACGGCGGGAATGAAGTCATACGCGCACACTGGTCGTCGACATGATCGACATGATAACGCGGACCAGGTTGTCATCCTTTCGCGAGCCGTTACCTGATATTGTTACATGTCGATAGTGTATAACAATCGTGTCATCGATTTATGAGTGAATGCACTTTAATGCTTTATGCGTGAGTCATCTCGAGAGTTTAGTCCATTTGATTGGAAAACTGACCGACGTTTGAAATTGTTTACGAATAGATAGCGTAAAATGATTAAGTTGCGTCAAATGAGAGAAAATTCTGCGAGTGGCAAATAAAAATTGTAGATTTCTTCAAAGTAATTCGTTAGATTCAAATGTAATTTATTCGCGACGATTCTCTCGAAATCAAATAAATTCAATGTTCCTTCATTTTGATTCAAAGCATTTTTTTGCAACGTTAAGAATATAATTCGCAAAATTATGACTAATCAATTCAGATCTTTTTTATAATCTTCAAGTAAAATAAAATAGTATATCTCGAAACATAGTATGCATAAATTTCGCGTGCATCGTAAAGAATTTTGAAAATGCAAAGTTCTATTGCATATTTTATAGAAACGTGCCACCGGTTTCCAGCTGATCATTATACGGGGCCTTTCTCCTATCCATCAGTGAATCCACCATTGTCCGCCTCCAGAGATTCCCGTTAATCAGAATTGTATAGTCGGCGTCAGTTGAGACATTTTTTTTCTTTAGCAACTCAATCTACAAAACATATTCTTACATAAACTTAAAATAATAATGATCATTCCAACGTTAAACACAACGAAATCAATGTATCCTCGAAAGAATTATATCAAATGTTCAATAATTATTATCAATTTTGGCATCTATAAAACAGAATTAAATTCATAGAAATTATCTGAAATAAAGTGTCTCAAACATATACGAATATTTGTCTCCCTTGAATTATACAACTGTAATAAATAAAATATTATATAGACACTGTAATAAGTAAAACAATATATACACATTGCATATCATTAAAAAATTAACTTAGCAGATATAATTATCTATTAGATATGGTCGATTTGTTTAGAAATAGTGTTTGTTAAATTCTGTTTCTGAACCATTAGCATCTGTGAAATGTAAAATTATTAATGGTTATAAAGTTATAATGGAAATACAAGATCATAATAGACAAAATAATAAAAAAATAATACATAAGAAATCGCAACTGCTCCAAAAATATCAATGTATAAATAAGAATCAAACCATTTGTCTAGAGAAATTCTCTCATTCTCCTTCAGTTCCTTTTTTCGCAACGTATATTTCCATATACGTTTGAAATAATAGTTGCGAGACAGACACACATTATTATTCTTCTCGTTAATGCCGGCATATTGCACTGTAAACGGCGTCGGAGGAAGCACGGTACTGCTTTTATAACGAGAGCGAATCGATAATCCTGCCAATGGTAAATTTGGTCGATCGATGGTTCGATGTTCAAGCGTGCTTCCAAATTCGGTAAGTACGGAACATATATCGAAGATGCAAGCACAGCATTTCTTTATCTAACCTTTATTTAACCTGTATTCTAACGTTTGATGTGTCGCAAGGCGCAACTGTCAGAGAAAGAGAGAAGAAAAGAGAGAGAAAAGAAAGAGATATGAGTAGGTAGTATAAAGAGGGGGAATAGAGGCGGTAACAGCGCGTGGTAGTTCCGCTTAGTGGTGCCACCTGGGGACGACAGTTGAAAGCTCGCAAATACTAACCCGCTTTTCCCTCTTCTTCGTGATCCGCTCCGCGGCGTAAACTCTATCGCCTAGATCCATGGCTTCTCTAGTAATCCTTAATCCTGATATTCCAAACGGGCGTGAAAACTTCTGGTTAGTCTATAATTGCGTGTCGCGTGCGGTATCCTGCGAAACACCATATGTATCGACACAACTGCACGGCAGATCGATCACGGCACACACGCGGAAATCAGGGGAAACCACTGTACACACATATATCGTGGAAAAAGCAATCGACCGCACCTTCAAGCGGAGCACAGGTACTAGCATGCGCCGCCGAATAATACACGTAAGACACGTGCACAATTACCACGTGGTGTGATTATATTTATATTTCCTTGTGACAATCAGTCAGTTCGCATCCTTGCGACACACATCGCCGATGCGTCGTCGGTCGCGAAACGTGTCGTTTATTGATGCAGCGCGACAGTACTCTCGGCATCGCCTAGTGTACTTTTCACAACGATCTGTCGTGCGGCGAAATGCGGCTCGGCATTTAGGAGGGATGTTATTTCAGAGGCACCACGGCAGAAACGCAAGAGCAGAAGATGGCAATGGACACGATGTTTTTTGAAAGGCCAGTAGTTGCAGCACGAGCGATGTGCACGGCGAGTGAAGTCTGTGTACATGCGTATTCCATCGGAAAAGGAGCCGGAATGGATGACGCGCGATGCAGTGAGTAAAATGGTTATGCCGTTTTGTAAAATGCTCCGACTAATCTTCCGCAGTGGAAGTTTTTCATAAATAACGGTGGCTACCGTACTCGTATGTATCGGTGGCTACCGGCGTGGCGGTGCACGTTTCACGTCGTTGCTAGTGCTGCCGTTATCGTCGTAGTCGTGATCGTCGTTCGTGGTCGCCGCACCGTTCGGGCAAAATCGCTTGCTCGTGCGTGACGTCAGTGATTCCCCCTCACGTCGTAAACACCAAACATGGCCGTCGTACGGATATACGCTGATCGAGTGCGTCCCAAGCTGAAGGCGTAAACCGGTCGCAATACGGATTGCCGCGGACCGCGGCTATGCGCAGGTAATGCGCGACGACGTTTGCAGGCCTTGCGACGTATGCACGATGGCCACGGGTAACGATTATACGTGAACCGGAGCGATCGACTAGCGGCGTCTAACGCACTCCGCGGATCGAGGCCGACTAGAGCCGAGGTCTGCCAAACTCCCCTCGCAAGCCTAGTGGACTCGCCCGATCCGCTCGAGGTTAGGAGAGGAGAGAGGGTAGAGAGGCAGAGAAAGATCGCAGCAGGGGAAGGGAGAGGCTCTCAACGGTACGTGCGGTATGAGCATGAGAGAGAGACTGGAGAGAGGGTGGAAGCGAGAAAGGGAGAGAATGAGAGCGCGATTGAGTTGACTGAGGATGAGAGAGGGGTGGTGAAGAGTCGAGGGAGAGGAAGAGCAAGCGCAATGGAGGTAGAAAAGAGAGACGGCGCGACCAGGAGCGCCGTCCTCGGAACAAGAAAGCTGTCTGCCTGGCCTGCTTGTTTGCCTGTCTGCCCTGCTTCCGTGCCCGCTAGCCTGCCTGCTTGCCTGCCTGCCTGCCTGCCTGCTTGCCTGCCTGCCTGCCTGCCTGCTTGCTTGCCTGCCTGCCTGCTTGCCAGCCAGCCAGCCAACCAGCCAGCCACCCCAAGTTCCCTTCTAGGTACGTGTGTATGCGTGCGTTTGTGTGCGAGGGCAGTCAATGCGATGTTGCCGATTGCTCGTTTCGTCGATAGCACCGCACCGCAAATGTCACTGGCGTACCAACGGCGACGATACTCGTAAACGGCGGCGGTAATGACGCCAACAGTCCGCGATTTTCTACGTTCCGGCTGCGAGTCGAGATCGATCGACGCCACTCGCTCTCTCCCTTTCTGTCGGAGCGTGAACGCGCGCGCGTCCACTCTTCTCTTTGGCGGCCTCACCGCACCGTACAGTTGTACGCGTATTCGCGCCTACATCCGACAACGTTGCATCCTCCTCCTGCGATGTTCTGTCACACACTGTACTCGACGCACACCAGTACACACGTACACACACACACATACACACACAGCGATTCGTAGTAGGCACTATATCCCATTAACGGCGAATATTACACTTGAAAACGAACGCCAAGCAGTGTCGTTAGTAACGTACGGATCCCAGAAGAGACGAAACACATACACACGTACACACACGGAGAATACCCAACCCGACACTTTTCTTCCTGCCTTGTGAAAACGCGTGCTACCTCCACGGATCCCAAAACGAGAGTGTCCTCTCCTGCGCCGACGAGCACATAGGGAGAGCCCGCGCAAACAGGACAGAGAATGCGTACCCCTCGAGCACGAGAGAGACGCCGCGGTTTTGTAGTGGGGATAGAACCGTCTTCTCCGTCCTCGGCGTAAATAGCAGGATAAAAAACTCACGACGCAGGCGCCTGATTGGTGGAGCCCTCAAGGCGCCCCGGATGTCCCGAGCCCCACTCGCCCGAACGTCCAATCGGTGCCTGGCACAACCCACGTCGGTTCCCCTCAACGCGTTGCGAAGGCGGGCATTACCAACGAACCCATCGGTCGCTCTCGGACTCCGAACTCTCCCCCACGTACCCCCGGACCCACCGCGTTGTATAAAGTCTCCGGCGTCTCTCGGTGAGAGAGAGTCTCCCCCCTCTCCGACGGGAAGAGAGCGGCAGAGCCCCTTCCCTTCGCGCTCTTCTTCTGGCGCAGGAAACCCGAATAGCGGAGCCGCGCTACCGTGCCATCGAGGCCTCTCTTCTCGTCGCCGAACAGCCGTGTAAAGCCGTACGATGCGAAGCCTGTGTGTATCACCGCGAAGGGCGGGCACATAGACGCGGGACGCGGGCTGGCGACGAGAGAGGGGAAGTATGTACAATCCGCGCTCGTATATAGACGCGCGAGCGCACACACATGCATGCATACATACACATGACCGCGTCGCGCCGTCGTCGTCGCGCTCCCTTCCCCGTTGCGGCCCCACGTCGGTGGCCGACCACCGTCGGTATTGAAATATCCTGGCCCCTGGAGAGGCAAGTAGCCGCGCGGCGATACTGCTTCTTTCTATAACCACTACCGCGCGCGCAATTCTCACTCCCTCTCTCTCTCTCTCTCTTTCTCTTCTCTTCTCTTCGCACTCTCGCTCTCTATTCGTCATCTCTCTTCTCTCTCTCTTCCTCCGTACACCTCTTCCCCTTTTCTCATTCTCTTTGTGTTCGCATCTTCCTGACTCCTGGATTACCAACCTCGCTGCTCCCTTCCCCCACCTTACTCGTTGCTCTCGTGTGTCATCTTCTCTCCGTCGCTCCCGATTGTGTCGTTCGTGCTTGCGCCAGCCTCGTACCCTCTTTCAGGGGTCCATGCCTCTCTTTTCCTGTTTCTCTCTCCCTCCCTCGCCGCCCGCTCCGCCAACTCGAATCTCCCTCCGGAACGAGACTCGCCTCCCTTCGGAGCGCAATCAATCGTCGTGTACGAAACGCTGTGTAACCCTGCGAGCGGTGCGTAAATTGGAAAATGCGAGCGCGCGCACGCAAGTCATTGAATTGCGTACCTTCAAAATCATTTCGAATACAATCGTACAGTCATTCTTTTCTTTCTTTTTTACATACGCCGATGTTTCTCAACGACATCGACGCCCGACATCGATGATGTATTTTTTTCATTGATTGCGCTACAACTTGTTAGATTGCAATTTGATAACAGATTCATCAATTTAAACAAATTTACTACGCTTGTTTCTTTTCTCTTATGTTCTTCATAAATCTCATTTTATCTTAAATACAGAAAATACAATGGATTTCAATTAAAACGCACAAATATAAAGATGCAGCGTGAACAGAAACTAACTAATTAATGAAATAATTGGCTGATGAAATTCGCAAAACAGTCCTTTCTATATCGAATCGAAATTGTATACAGCATCGTTCCAAAATCATAAACATTATACAAGTCTATGTTCGTCTCTGGGAGTGAGAGGCCCTGACACGCTTCTCTGCCGCGAGCTATGTCGATGGCGTGCGCGCGCGCGTTACCAAGCGTCGCTTGTCAAAAGTGGCTATTTAATATCTCAGGAATGACATGGGATATCGCGATAAAACCTTCACTGAACGATTCTCTACCTTTTGTCATGCTTATTTATTTGGACGCGGACCCGATTGGGTTAATAATTTCCGTGTGAGAGTCATTTCAAGGTTCGAGATCCGCGACGGAACGCATGCGTGTTATCGGGAAACTAATGGTGGGTTTTTCCAAATTTTTGTTTAATAACGAGTGGTAGGCGAAGGATGATTCGAAAATTGTAACACGCGCGATCTGGGGCGTTTTGTTAAGCCGTAATTAGCGTTTTTCGTTATTTACGCAAAGACGAATGAGATGGTGTCGAGAAAATATATTTAACGATATTTAAAGAGTAATACACGCATACATAATCCATGGTGTTTCTCATTTAGAATTAGAAAAGTTTATAGCGCTTATAAAAGCGTTATTTTTGAATTCTACTTAAAAGCGCGTTTAAATCTCTAAAATATTCTTGCGTGTATAATTCTTTTGCCAAAGACTTACTTTTTTCTAAATCTATTTACATGAAAGATTTTCATTTTTCAATCGATCGAGATTACCGGAAACAAATTATTTGGAACATTCTATCGTATTTAGTCGAAACGCTACGTTTCGAACTTTATGAAGTCGCGCTTTTTGTATTTAATAAGAATCGGACAAACGATGATTTTAATATCGAAACGAGTTCTTTGTTGCGGAAATATTCTTCATACGCCAAGTGATTTCCTCGGCATAACGAAGCATACGTGATTACTTGCTCGCCAGACTGTACCAGTACCAGCTACACGAGCTGCTCGAAGAGAAATAAACGAAACTCACCGACAGCTATACCTTCAACCTATGCTTTTCCAACGAATTATCGATTTATCGTCAGATCCTTCTCGCTCTTATGCGAACTCGTGCTTTCACGTCGGTCAACGTGTATGCCAGATCGTCCTGTGTAGACGCAACACTTTCATCGCGCACGCGTTACGAAATTATGCAATTTTTACGTGTGACAATGAACATAAAAAGTGTCTCTGGTAAAAATAAACAACCGCTCTGAATAGACTGTTGCGCGATAAAATAATGATAAAATCGAAGCAAGAATTATCAGTCTTTAAATATCTACTTTCATTAGTAGCGTTGCATTGCAACGGTTACATCCATTTTTACGGAGAGCCCGATTATTGGCGAAAAATATTACTCTTTTATGATTAATTCTTTTATTATGAAGAATTATAGCGCTTTATGTTACCGTCATAATACCACGCCCTTTCCCTCTCCTCTCGATAATTTTTGCTGAGCATGCAAAGACCTTCCTGTATCCGTCAAATTGCTAAACAAGCTTACAGCGAGACAGCGCGTATCGACCGGTATTTCCGTTCCACAGATCCGAGATATTTCCCTATCCGCGGATCTCTCTGGACACGGCGTGGTCCAGTAACATGGGCATTAGCATGCAGCTCCGGCCGACGTACTCGGCATTTGTGGGCTCCGGTTATCGTCCCTGCCCTCGGGCCGTATCGGCACTCCGAGGGACCATATGCACTGAGCGAGTACTCCCTTGCCTCTTTGCTCTCTTTCTTCTTTCTCGCCTCATCTTTCGCTTTCTTTCTTTGTTCCGAGTGTACGGCGGACACCTTATCGCCCTTTGGCCGAGCGTTCTTTGAGCGAAGCATGATGGTAGAGAGAGAGAGAGAGAGAGAGAGAGAGAGAGAGAGAGAGAGAGAGAGAGAGAGAAATCAAGGGTATCTTGAGAATAAATATAAAGAAATAATTTTTTTCTCCGGAATGAAAAAACACAAAATCAGTTGAGTTGTTTAGATTTTGTGTTTAGTGTAAAAGTAAAATCTTTAAAAAACATTTTGCAGAAACGAAATCGTTAAGAAAAGGAATAACGGTAGTCAGATAGCAAAGTATACAAACTTATTTAGACATTTTGTGACATGTGTCTACGAGGAATCCTCTTCTTTTTCGCTTTCAATAATATTAGTTTTGAATCTTTGAAAATATAGATCCGTTTCTGCAGCATGAAAGACACTGTGAAATATGTGAAATATGTGACCATAGGGACTGACTTTTAAATCATAAATCTTTGAATGAAATGTCTTGAAAGAGTAAAGAAACCTAGAGAATGAAAAACATGTTCAATAAAAATACGTTTATATAAATGAATTCATTATAGCAGGTAGTAGACAAAACTCTAGTCCTGTATAACCTTCTTTTGTAGCTTTTAAAATTTTTTGAACTATTCTGTAACTCTTTCTTCGCGTAAAATTCTTCTAAAAGGAAAAAAGTTAACAATAATTTAATTTTCAATATCTGCATTATTTCTCAGATGTAATAAATATTTATTCCATAATAGATAATTTTCCAAAACAACGTAGACCCGAGAGACATAAACAATGGAAAGATTTATTAATAAAATCGTTTTCCATTTTATATAACAAAAATAAAATCTCGGTGTGGTCCTCGGAGTGATTACGACCTGTATATTAATTT